TATAATAATATAATAATATAATAATATAATAATATAATAATATAATAATATAATAATATAATAATATAATAATATAATAATATAATAACATAATAATATAATATTATAATAATGCAATAATATAATAATATAATTAAAATAAATTAAAAATAAATCCACGATTTCCTCATCCTTAATCACGTCACCTTCCCCCTACGATGTTCCCAAAATGTTTTCAAACTATTTCCACAACATTTCCAAACAATATTTCTACGACAAGAATAGAAGCAAATCGAGTTCGTCAAATTTGCTAGTGGCATAAACGATCGCCGGGATCGCAGAGTCCGTGGAATCGGCGAGTCCGGCCACGTAGCGACCCACATATCACTTAGCAAACCTTCGACTCGGCACGTAAGTAGTTAGTACTATTTCGGCGCGGATAGGAGATGTGGATCGAGGGATAGATAGGCCGGGGAATCGGCTGATCCACATCACTTAAAGGGAACCGGCGCGCCACGCCGCGCCGCGCCGACGGGAAACAGCCTGCAGTTAAGCTGATTCCGCTCGATCCACTGACCGTTCCGTGTTCCGGCGCGGCCGATCGTTGACCGGAAACCGGTATTTCTCCTGAAAACATATCTAACACGACCGACGATTACGCTCACTGGGCCGAGAGAGATTCGGGAGAGCCGATGTTGCCCCGCACGTGTCCGTTTTCGCCGGAACTCGCGAGCTCCTCCTTGCCGTTGCCAATATTTCGCGATCAATTAAGCACTTAGCTGTTGCATCATTCGATAAATAATACCACAAAGTATATATTTACTATTTAGTATTAACCAGTCAGCTTCGACGAGTATACTCGTCGAAAACTGTTAAACGGTTAAGGAGGAACCTAACGAAAAATTAGTTACATTCGAAAAAATGGTTTACTGGACCGCGGATCTTTGTGCAAAATGAAAATCGTCTAGGTTAATTGTAACAAACAGGTTCCACGAAAATGTCTTTGTTCTTTTAATGACTCTAATACAAGTGTCCTAAAATTATTGTACAAGCGAGAAGTGAGGGTTTCCTGAGGTGATTTCAAGCAACTTTTTCCTTTGCGAAAATGCAATCCGCGGCTTCGTTTACGAGTTATTGACGAAAAACCCTGTCCAATCGCAGCGCGAGCGCGGCAGGCGCTCCGCCCATGCGGCCAATACCGCGTCGCGCTGGCCGTCTGACACAGCGGCGAAGGTAGCGAGGGCGGAGCGTCAGCCGTACGCGATCTGTCATTGGTCAGTGTTTTCCCTTAATAACTCGTAAACGAAGCCGCGGATTACATTTTCGCAAAGGAAAAAGTTGCTTGAAATCACCTCAGGAATCCCTAGTTTCACGCTCGTACAATAATTTTGGGACACCATTTTGAAAATAGGGCAATAATGTCGTTAGATTTTCGTAATTTTCTTACAGTTTCTCAAAGTTTCCCAATATCTCGACGCATCGGCGGCAAAGAATCGCGTTCGTATGCACGCGACGCGCCTATCGATTACTCGCGTATTTATTTCCGACGGGACGTACCGTTCTCGCTTCGAAATTGCTCATTTTTCCGAGCGCCGGCCTCGGCGGCCCCCGTCCCGGCCCGGCCCGATTTAATTGTCGGCGCAATTTTGCGCTCCGCTACTGATCATTGGCCGCGCGAGCTCGCCTCCCCGGGACGAGCCGTAATATCGCTAAATTGGTAATTTAACACTTGTTCCCGTCGCCGATACAAATTGCTATCTACTGTAAAATCATTCGGACTCGGCCGATCGCGCCGTGCGCTCGTTATTCGATTAATAAATTGAGTCCGGCCGTCTGTCGATGAAGGGTGCAGCTGCATAAGGGGGTCGCGGGGCTCTTGAGCGAAATTAAACTGTCAATGGACGCTCGATAAATTCAAAAAGGAGGAACGGTGTAGCAGGTGCCGGGTTTTTTATCCGCGCCGGGTAATTACAGGGGAAATCGGATTACGCGGTTTTCATCTGTTTGCCCTAGTAGTAGAAAATGTCCGTGGAAAATCTAGTCGAATATCCGTCGGATTTTTATTTTCGAAATTGCTGCCGCGGCAATTCGATAATGCACGGCTGTTTTAAATTAACCGTGTGTTGCGAATTTCTATCGTGCATTAGGACTCTGTAGTCCGACCAATAAATAAGTAAATAAATAAATGGATCAGTCAATAAATAGACACGTAAATAAATAGATATGTAAGTAAATAGATAAGTAAACTAATAGATATGTAAATAAATAGTAAGTAAATGAATGGATAAGTGAATAAATAGCTAAGTAAATGAATAGATATGTAAATAAATAGATAAGTAAATAAATAGATATGTATAAATAAATAGATAAGTAAATAAATGGATAAGTAAATAAATAGATATGCAAATAAATAGATATGTAAATAAATAGATGAATAAATAAATAAGTAAATAAATAAACAGACCGCAGATTTTATGCATTCATAGAAAAATTAGGTAGCTACAATTTTAAATATTCTAAAAATTAGAAACATTTCAATACGTCAACGTATTCTTTCTAATTTATTAAGATCAGTCAAGAAGGAATGAAGTTGCTACTCGCAAAAATTGACAGCGAAGTAAGAAGAAGTCGGAAGGAGGAAAGAAAAGGAACTGAAAACAATCAAATCTAATTTCGAACTCGCAGAAACAATTACACGAGAAACGGCCGCACTGTCGTCGAAGTTATTGACAGCCGATCGCATCCGATCAGCGCGGTTCTATTTAACGTTAAACCTGTCCAACAATTATAGCGACGCGTAAAGCAAGCAAAAGCAAGAAAATGTTTAAAGCAAGAAAAAGTTTAAAAATTGATATTATCTGATCATCTTCTTCTGCAATGATTTTTCTTTATATTCTTTTCATAACAATAATAATTGTAACAACTTTTATTATTTATCAACGGAAGGAATTCTTTGTTAAATATTGATTTTTATTTTGTGTCGATTATCGTAGATATCAATAATAATCAACTTTTCAGTAATGCTTCTTGTCGCAGACAATTTTAGAACAACTGTTATTTATTTAAGATATTTTTTCATTTATATTAGCATTTTTCTTCGTTATTTAACCATTTTTTCACTATCTAACATTTCCTTTTCATTGTGTAACATTTTTCTTCGTAATTCAGTATTATTTTCTATTATTTACTAGCTTTCGTTATTACTTGACAATACCCTGAATTATTTAACATTTTCCTCGATTGTATAATATTTTCTTTCATCATCTCACATCTTTCTCCAGAAAATCATTTTCAAATCTTCAATTTCATACGTTCAAATTGCAATCAAACACGTAAAATCGAAATGTCGCGCCTCGTAAACCATATTTCGGATTTTCAATTGCGATATCTACGATCGCAAAGGATTGATAAAGACGATGTCCAGCGTTCGAAGAAATCCAGAATTAAGCAGCTGTTCTATTATCCGAACATTCGCGTCGATCCTCTCGGCCCGGATAATCGAGGTCCTATTTCGTGAAGAAGGTTCGATCGAGGTGGAACAACTTTCTGCTTAAATAATTCCGTTCCATTTCAGGAACAACAACCGGCGCCGGATAGGGTCCTACGTGAAACGTCGCTCCTAATTCGTTCGATCCTGTATCGGGTCGGTCGGTTTTTCCCTGGGCATCGGGTCGCGTGCGTTCAACGGCGAGCGGAAGTTCTTGCGCGCGCGTGTGAATTACGATGCGGGTCACGCGCCGAGCGGAACGGTCAATGAAAAGTCAATACTGTTAAACGATGCCGGGCGTAATTGAACGTTTGACCAATAAATGTCGCCGGCGTTGTCGCGCGAATGAATTTTCCGTCCGTCTCGTTTTCGTAACTCACGCCCCCGAACGCCATCGAAATTCCGTCGTGGTACCGACTCCTCTCTTCCTCTCTCTTCCCCTCTCTCTCACTCTCTCTTTACCTTTCATCTGTCTCTTCCTCTCTCTCTCTCTCTCTCTCTCTCTCTCTCTCTCTCCGATCTGAAGAATCGAACTCGATCTCAGTGCAAGATCTCGATACCCTCTTTCGTTCGCGACGCGCGAGCACTCCTCGAAGGCGACGCGACGTCCCGCGATCCCAATCACGTTCAAATAAACTCGACGGATCAGGACGCTCGAGGAAACGCCTGACAACGTCAATAATTTTGCGCAGTCGATACGAAACACGCCGATTCCGTTTGCGTGGGAGATTGCGGATACGTTGAATACCGCGGGGCCAAGAAATTAATGCGAGTTCCGACACAGAGTTTAAACGCCTCGAGCGCCGAAAATCAATCATTGGAATTCATTCGAATTTTATTCGAATAAGAATTTATTTGTTATTGAGATATTTATTTCTTCCCTGTTATTTTTTCGAATTACTCGAATAAAGAATTTTCCGAGTTATTCGTATTAAATTATTCGAACACAGAATTATTCGAATACAGAATCATTCAAATAAAGAATTATTGGAATTATTCGAATATATATATATAAAGAAGCATTAGAATAAAGAATTATTCGAATAAAGAAACATTAGAATAAAGAATTCTTGAAATTATTCGAATAAAGAATTCTTGAAATTATTCGAATAAAGAATTCTTGAAATTATTCGAATAAAGAAGCATTCGAATAAGGAATTATTCGTATAAAGAAGCATTCGAATAAAGAATTATTCGAATAATTCGAATAAAGAATTATTTGAACTATTCGAATAAAGAATCATTTGAGCTATTCGAATAAAGAATCATTCAAAGAATGAATCGAATTATTCGAATAATTCGAATAAAGAATTATTTGAACTATTCGAATAAAGAATCATTTGAGCTATTCGAATAAAGAATCATTCAAAGAATGAATCGAATTATTCGAATAAATAGAACAATTGACGACGAATAATGAATAATCCGAATAAATGGAACAATTTACGCGAATAAATAGAATAATTTCCAACGAATAATTCTTCATTGGAACATACGTATAAAATATTCGACCAAGTGTAGAATTCATTCAAATCGAACAATCTTAGACAAATATTAATTTATACACGCCGAACTCCGGTCCACGGTGCGCCGCCGAAAACCGTGTCCGATATTCGATTCGTGCTCGTCCCGAGGCGTCGTTGGACGCGCGATTTCTCACCAGTCGCCGATTGAATCTTCGCCCCGCCGAAAATCCCGGCCGTTATTTCTCGTTAGACGGTCCGGCAAAAGTTCCACGGCACTCGAAAATTGTCTGCGGGAGAGTCGACGGGCAGAGGAGATAAAACGCGGATAGGTGGAGACGCCGCGTCTGGGACGCCGTGAAAAATACAGTTTCGCCGAGGAGTTTTCGCGTTCGCCTTAAAATCGAAGAGCCAACGGCGGGGGATCTCCATCGCGGCGTTCGGTTTCCACCGTTCGTCATTCCCCAGTCGCCCGGTGATCCCGGTTTGCGAAATTTCGCGCGGTATCGGTGGCCCGCGGTAAACTCCCGGAACCGGACGAAAGAGAACCGATCGAGGAACTGGCAACTACTTACGTTTCGGGCCAAAAGTTTCCCGTAAGTGATGTGGGCCGGCACGTGGTCAGGCTGGCTGGCCAAACTCGCCTGGAACCACCTCTCCGCCTCCGCGTACTGTTGCAGCCTCGACAGCGTCTCGCCCAGCAGGTTGTAAACGCTCTGGAAAACAAGGTCGATCGTCAGCGGTTCCGTTTACCGGTTCCCCGCCTCGGTTTCCTAATTATTCAATCAGCTACGATGTTCCGATCGCCTCCCGAGACGTTGTCGAAGCTCAATTCGCACGCGGTACGGTAAATTCTCCCGCAATTTGACGCTCAGATTGTGCACGAAAGTGGACAATTTGGGGAGAGGCGCTGCGATTATTAGAGCATCGCGGCTCGTTTTTATATTTACCGATTGTTAACGATTGTAAAAGCGAGGTGCAAGGCTCGAATAATCGTATCTCTTCTTTCCAAATTGCCTATTTTTGTTTAGAAGCTGAAAGAAAATTAAGGAGAGTTTACTGTACTTTGATTATGCAGGATACACGAGTGGAATTACTCGAAGAGTTTTGGACAGAAAGATTTTTGAAGATTGATTTTTTGAAAAATAATTTTTGAATAAGTTATTCAATATATCAACGCATTCTTGACTTTTATCCCACCCGGTACCGATGTTCTGATGCGCGATGTTGTAGGTGAAATTATAATGTAAATATTTTTGTGGACAATTTCATGGAAATCATTGCAGTGCAATATATGCACTTGTGCAATATGTCTTTAAAAAATTGCGATGCAAGTGTTCAATGTAGAATTTTTTGATTTATTTAATGATCTCGTGTTGGACAGTACAGAAAAAATTATAGAATAAATGTTTCTATGTGGAATTTTATGCGAAAAATTGCAAAATTCATCACAGAAATGTACTTCTGTAATATTTCATAGAAAAAATTGCAGTAGAAATGTACTTCTGTAATATTTCATAGAAAAATTGCGATACAATTGTGTACAATGAAATTGCACACAATTTTCTTGTAAAATCGTCCTCGTGTACAATTTTGCAGGAAAAATTCCAGAACAAATGTTTCCGTGCACAATTTCCTATCAAAACCTTCGGTGCGATAATTTTAATACACGATTCCATCGCAGAAACTTCCGATACAACTGCTTCAAACGCTCCATTTCGTATGAAAAACTTCAGCGCAATTATTTCAACGTTCGATTTCGTACAAAACAAAACTTCAGTACAACTGTTCCAACGTTCGATCTCGAAGGAGAGACTTCGATACGATTGTTTCAGCGTTCGACCTCGTACGAAAAACTTCGGTAAAAAAGACAATTAGCGCGCGACTTCGCAGGAAAATCTTTGTCGCGACAGTACCGATGCGCGATTTCGTAGAAAACATTTCCGCGCGATTGTTCTCCGGTGCGATTTCACGGAGGAAATGGCGGCCGAAGCCCGCTAGTGGCGAGCCCGTGGAAGACACAAGAATCGCGGCGAGTTGGGGAATCCGATTTCCCGGCGACCAAAAACGCCGCAGGCCGGTAATGCTCTGTAAAAGTAGTCCGAGTGAATAATGACTCGGCAGAATGGAGTTTCGAGACCCACTCGCGGCCTTCCAGAGAGGGGCGGGGGGTGAGGGGTTCGAACTTCCCCGGGGCGCATTCTTTCGCCTCGTATTTACCTTTCCGGAGCGCATTAGCGCGCGTTCCCCGGGTCGGCCGCGGTTTTCAGCGCCGGGCCGCGCGGCGGCGTCCTTAAATTTTTCAGGGCGAGCCCCGCTCGCGGTCGCGGGGATCCACTTTGACGAGGAATTATTCAACGGCGTGTCGTTACTATTTCACTGAAGGAATCGAGACCCTTCTCTCTCTCTCTCTCTTTCTCTTTCTTTCTGCGCCCCGGCCGAGTTTTTTATCTAACGAAACGAAATTTATGGCCGGCTGCGGCGGAAACGGCGCTGAGAACGAGCTCCGCGAACCAGAGGGGATCCTTTAGTATTTTACTACGGCGAACTGTTCGTTCCGAACAATGTTTGAACATTCTTGGTTCAAGAGAATCGTCACTTTCGAATTATTCGACGAGAACGCGAGCTTCGGATCGTCGCCGTTACCTCGCGGATTTTTATAAAGTGTGCAAAGCCTAAATAATCGTCGAGATCTTGTCTTTTATCGTTTAATTATTTTAATATGCTGCACGTAATAGAAGTATATTTTCCATACTCTTTTACAATGTTTTTGCATTTTTCTGTCAATTTTCTGTCATAAATGTGTCTTGATGTGACAATCAATACCTTAATAATGCATTCAGTAAACATTTTTATGGGAAATGTGAGATAACGAAGGCAAATCTAACAAGAAAAATGTTGAATAATTCAGGATACTGGCAAGTAATGATAGAAGATGAATGAAAATTGTTAAATCACAAAGAAAAATGCTAATAAATGAAGAAATATTTTGAGTAATCAAGAAAAATGTTAAATAATCAAGAGAAATATCTTGAGTAATCAAGAAAAATGTTAAATAATCAAGAGAAATATCTTGAGTAATAAAAAATGTTAAATAATCAAGAGAAATATCTTGAGTAATCAAGAAAAATGTTAAATAAAATCCAGAAAAATATCTGGACTAATCAAGGAAAATGTTAAATAATCGGGAGAAATATTTTGAGTAGTCAAGAAAAATGTTAAATAATCAAGAGAAATATCTTGAGTAATAAAAAATGTTAAATAATCAAGAGAAATATCTTGAGTAATCAAGAAAAATGTTAAATAAAATCCAGAAAAATATCTGGACTAATCAAGGAAAATGTTAAATAATCGGGAGAAATATTTTGAGTAGTCAAGAAAAATGTTAAATAATCAAGAGAAATATCTTGAGTAATAAAAAATGTTAAATAATCAAGAGAAATATCTTGAGTAATCAAGAAAAATGTTAAATAAAATCCAGAAAAATATCTGGACTAATCAAGGAAAATGTTAAATAATCGGGAGAAATATTTTGAGTAGTCAAGAAAAATGTTAAATAATATCTTGAGTAATCAAGAAAAATGTTAAATAATCCAGAGAAACATTAAATAATCAAGAAAAATGTCAAATAACGATAGAAAGTGTTAAATACTAAAAAAAGATTCAATAACGAAGACAAATATTAGATAATTCAAAGATCATGTTAAACAGCGCGAAGGAAATCGTTAAATAAAGAAGAGAAACGTTGAATAATTAAAGCTTAAGCTTAAGTAATCAAGAAAAGTATCGAATAACAAGGGAGCGTGTTTAAAAAAAATAAAGGAAGATATTAAATAATATAGAAATGCCTGGAATAACGAAGGGAAATATTAACTGACAAAGGGAAATATTCAATGTGGAAGCGATCTGAAATTAGAAAGTCGACTTTCAGCAGAGAGATGAGAACGCTAAGAGAACGTCAGTATCCCATTTAATTCGAACCACGGCAAAGTATGGGAAGAAAGACTATGGGAAAGGCGGGCGTATTAGCCGAATGCAGACTTTGATCCAGGCCGCGGAGGCTTACACGGAATCCTTCCTTGTCTCTGTGTTGTAATATTCAGGCGGATCCCTTTTAAGCAACTGCGGCTCTCGTCGCTCGTGCTATATACACCGCCGAGATGCAGGGGAGAAAAAAGTGTTAAGCCATTTGCATTTTAATATGCGTCGCGCAAGTTTGAGGATTCCTTGCACTGCGGCTTGCTCTGACCGGAGGAACGAAGTGTCTGTTTTTAAAACTGTTTCTCCTTTTTCTTTCCTTCCCCCTCCCCTCCCCCCATTTTTTTATTCTCTTTTGCTCGGCACCGAGAAATTCTAGGCTCGCGGATAGCGGCCGAGATAAGATGATAATAAATTTATTCAAATAGGATTTTCTGTTTGCGCCCGATGACGACGTCGTATGCATTTTAATCCCACGTTTTTCGGCTCCGACCACTGCTGATTAGCTCTTTCTCCTCGTATTCATTGCATCTTCGCGTTCACGTTCGATGTAGCTGAGATCGAAATGTAGTTTCATATTTTTTTAGGTACATTTTGGATTCCTTGAGAAGCAAGCAAATATTTTGTAGCCGACGATGCTCGCGATCTTTCAAAATTTCGTAATTGCTTTGATGACTTTTCATTGCTAGATTATTTTAATAATTCATAAACGAGGTACATCGCATTTAATAAAACGCTTTAGGAACCGAGACGAGCAAGCAGAAACAAGTTATCATAGCAAACGAATCTATTATAATGAATATCTGCAATCTGCTTGAAAATCGCAAAAAATTCTTAAAAATTTTAACGTCACAATTTAGTTTAAGTCACTATATTATTAAATAAATTGTGATAATTCCTTTTCTCTTTCTTTATATTATTAAATAAATTAAGAAAGAGAAAAAGAATTATCGCAATCTCACTTTCCAGCACCACACAGATCCTCAATTGTTTTCCAAGTGTAACAAAAGAATGGCTAAAACGATTAGAGTGAAAATAATTGATAGAAGAAATGATTTTTCTGAAAATCATTTGTCGGTGACAGCAACGTGAGAATCGCGAGCGAAATTTTCGATTGACCAACGAAAACACCGATAATCAGGTTCGCGCAGACGGAAGGGATTCTTCTTTTGTTGACGAAGAAAGGGGAGCAAGCGAATTATAATTTTACGGGGGAATGTGCATTGCGAGAGAACGCAGCCGCAAGGTAGTCAGCGACAAACTCCCTAAACTAATCCGCGTTTCTGTCACGGAAAGGTGGTAAGGAAAGCAAGCAAGTTCTGTTTCCATCGGAATAAATTAAGGAAATTCCGACGGTAGTGTTCAGGCGGATACCCGCGACACGGCACGACACTTCGGCCCGCGGTTCCTAGATTAAGAAAAGCTCGCCTAATTATTTACAAGGAGCCACGCCTCGTACAATTCGACGAACCAACCTTTAAATTGCTTGCCAAAGGATCAAACTAATGGCACAAAAGTTTCTTTCGACGTGCTCTGTCGCACAACATTAATATACGCAAATAACGCGATTATCTTTTTAACAATTTTTTTAGCGATTTTTAAGCGCTCGCTTGGCAGAATTATCCTTTTCGTTAATTTTGCTATCGGTTTCTCAACGTTCGCACGACACAATTATCCGTTTTGGTAATTTTTCTGTCGATCTCTAAGCGATCAATTAACGTAATTATCGTTTTCATGA